GTTAGTGTGTTCACTTGGACAGATGAATCACAGGTAATAGTGATATTATTAAAGGGTCCTATGGGGATGAGTGCAAGTGATGCTGTAGTTAACATGGTGACAACATTTCCCCATTATAATTCCTTGCTTATGTGGAGGGATTAATAGGTTAGTTGTAAATTATAAGAAGGAAACGCCACACTGCCACAAGGCCAAATTTACAAAGAGGTATTAATTGGTGTAAATATGCAGGTAAATACAAGGAGGTGAATTTTCAAGTGTCCAAGCTTGCTTGTGCTCCATCTCTCTCAAGGATTTTTATCTGTGCCTTTGATATCATGGATCCAAAACAGCACAGCCCAGATCAGGGCTCTTATGTAGAAACTTATACTAACCTTTTCCATATTCCTCTTTGTATATTATAAAGAGTGTCAAGCTTTTGAGTGGTGTGGATGGGAGAACCACTTGTACTTGTAAAATGAATGAGAAAACATTATACACTTATCATACTAAAATAAACACATCATATACAAATAGCAACTAATTAACCTTCACTACAAGCCATGAGGTAAGTAAATAATATCCTTATTTTGTAAATGAGAACTGAAGAAGAGCAGCTGCATTCAAGGTAGTGGCAGAAGCTGGGAGTATATAACCAAAGTAAAAGGTAAGATATGCGTTTTTTATTTCCCCAGTCCCCTCTCTCTGTATTATTGGATAAAATGGTGCACACTTTTCAGGGAGGCTAGCGGGACAGGTTTTTTTTTTAAAAAGTGGAACAATCCACCAAAACTCACCTGCTCAAGCGCTAATTAGGACTGTCTAACAGCCAGCCTATTTGGGATGTCTCATACTTGGCTTTCTGCTCTTTGTTTGTTCACCTGTAAGGGACAGATTTTGATATCCTTATACATACTGCATGGAATTCACCCCTGTAGAGAGGGCAGCACAATCCTATGCACTGTTTAAGTCCAATGAAACCTTCAAAATAGCTCTTAAGTGGGACTTAACACAGGCCTTGTGTTGGCCCACTGGCACAGAGTTGAATTTCAGCCACTCAGCAATGCCTTATTCTTTGAGCGTTCCCATCAATTTCCCCTAAGTTAGTGCTCAACATGAGCAAGGCATCAGAATCCAGCACATATTTGCTAATTCACAAAATTCAGTAATTCATCGTGGCTCTCCCAGTCATTACTGTCAATTGATGAGACTCTGCATTCCGCCTCCACCGCACACAACCTAGCACCTACATGGAATTTTCTGAAAAAATACTTTTTGTATGTTTAAATATAAAGCTATGACCGTATGGAGCCGGGAATTACACTATTGAGTTGCACTCACATTTGAATATATGAGACTCAATGCATGTGCCCATAAAAATGTCCATACATACCTTAAGTCTGTAAAAGTCCATATTTGTGCATGCAGCAAAATGCTGCATTGCACTATGTGGGCTTTTGTTAGTATACTCATTGATTAGTGTAACTGGACATTTATGTCTAACCCTAAAATCACAGCTTTTGTGGTGCACTAACCATCATATTAGGCTCAATGGAGCCTTTGACTTAACAGTTCTCTTTTTTCCTTTTTCAGGATCTGATACCTTACATGCAGGAGCTGTGGTTTCAGACCTGAAGGATTGATGCCTTAATGAAGATTAGTGCTTTTTAAGCACTTGCTTTTACTCTCATCGTAATTACTGTCAAAACGCCCGTTGACTGGCTTAGCAGAGGAAACTGTAAAATATTCAGCAAAGGCCAGAGGCTGGTACAACAGTGAAACAAGGCTAACTTTCAATCTGACCATTCAAATGTCTTACAGGTTACATATGAGAGTAGAGTCACAATGAACCAATAAAAAGTCATCTTCATCATAACCCACTGAAAGAGGAGTATCAGAAGGCAGGATGTAGTCCACACTAGAGCATGGGCAACATGATAGGGACACATATAGTCCACAGTACAAACTGCTTTAGGGTGTCTATCTACCCACACTGTATTACTTGGGCAGAATGGGGTTCATGATCATGTGAAAGATTTCCAGGCCTTTCAAGTCATCCTTTCAGACACTACTGAACTGAAAACTTTTAATTCACTTGTGTTGTGGTATTACATAATGGCCCTCTCCACACCTGGCTCTCTTGTAACTATCTTAAACATTCTACTGCCATTATGGGTTTTTTTAGACAGTGTTCCTGAGGGAAACAGAGAACCTTAGTGCATTAATAATAATCTGTTTCTGACTGTGGGCTAGTTGAGAAACTATTTAAGGAAACAGAGGCATAATGTATTAATAGCAGCTTTGGGTTTGTCATGCCTTTGGAAGCTCTATTTCAGACATTGACAATAATAATATATTCATGATAACCTTTTAAAGCAATCCATGGTAGAGGAGCAATGGTAATTCATGAATATCCACTGAAGAATCTTCATCTATAGTGAAAAGGCCAAGGAATATTGATAACCCCATGTATCGATGGCACAATATGTAAATTATGAACATGTGACATCACTATGACCTCTATTCACACATTATCTTCCTGCTGCTCTTCATCTGCAGCTGTTCTGCCTTTGGCTCGAATTACATCTCCAATGCCAAAACCAGGAGGCTGTTGAGTGGCATTAGATTGCTCCTCTCTTACAAATCCTTTCTTCCTATTCTACCATTGAAAGGCCAGCAATCTGGTTTTCTCCAGGTAGCTGTCATCCACTTCCTCCTGCATACTCTTCCCTGGTTCTGCTTGCACCTTCCTCTCTGGCTTTGATGCCTGACTGTCACGCCTTTTTCCTTACTCATCCTGCTAACTTTCCTTTTAGGAGATTTCAGCTTCCATGGTGATAACCAGTCAGACCCTGCTGCCTCTCAGCTTCCTTCTCTGTTCTTCTGTGGAGTGACTCCCATACTTGGGGCCAAGTGGTGGCCTTTAGCCAGTGGTGCAAGGAATGCCTGCCACAGAGTTACAGCACTGGCCGGAGGCGGGATTCTGTCCTGGAGCTGGAAGCTAGGTTCCTTAACGCAATTCTACGAATTCATCCCAGTCCTGACCTTCAACATTGTTCCTGCTGTTCCAGCTTGGGGCCTTTCTTGCTTAGAGACCAACAATCACACCAAGCAGTGTAGAAGTGCCAGGGGGCAGACCGATGTCCACTAGGAAGTGGGCTGAGGTCATTAATTCATTTCATTTCTGGCCTGATCCACATTTGAACTGAGTTCTCTAACAAATAAAGGTTAGTGCATTATCTCACTGAGTCAGGAACCCTCCACAATACACATTTTAAATCCATTTAGTTATATCAAGCTACAAAATTTGAGGAAAATAAGGATGCTCACCAGCCAGATGGACATCTGAATATTAGGAGGCTTGATTTGTTTTCCCAGTGGGGAATATTTTTCATAAAGAGTGACGTAAGTGTTGCTGTTATTAACATTTAATTATGGTGCTACGGGAACCTATACTTAAAATAACTTTTGGAAGGGAGAGACATGTTAAGGAAAAACATTTTCGTGTATCTAACCTAAGCAATGGAATGAAGCTTTTTGAAATAAATAGCACAGAATGGAATAAACCTGTCAAAAGAATAACATTCAAGTGCATCAAAAGACAAAATGCAATAACAAACAGACTTGATGTGGGATTAGATTTGTTTAAAGAATACATTATCTGTCTACCAAACCAGAATATATTTAAGAAAACAATGGGACTCTCTTAAATGAAGTTGAAGGAACAAGACCTATTAGAGGAACAGTTTTCTCATGAAACAAGATCATGTGGGTAGTAGGATTTATTTCCCCTGACTTCCTATTGCCATTTTTACTGGCATTATTTTTGTAACATAAATATTTTTCTTCCACAATATTCCATTGGTCACTTTTAAGACTTGGGTTCATTTCTGAGCTCTCATGATTGATAGACACTCAACTCTCCCAGGCAGCTACTTCTGTTGAATGACAAAATTCCTTTTGCTTGATGATGCACTAGAAGAGGACTGAAGAGCCTCACTCTGCATTTCATTCTTCTGAGCCTGCGAGGCATTCAGGTACCAAGCCTGGTATCCTGTCTGCTCAATCTTCTCAGAGCTGCCATCTTGCAAAGTCAATATTCATTTGGGAAAGGGAATGAAGCCAATTTAAGAATGACCTTACAGCCCTGAAAGTGGAACACATCCCTACAAGGATTTCATTCAACTCAAACAACTCCATGTCACACCCCAGTATATTGAATCCCACGTCGTTAAAGTTAAGTTGAAGGAAACTGGATTTTTTCCCCCTACATTTAAACTTTCTGGATAAAATTAAATATTGCTGGGTGCAAAAAAATATTGATAGCACTGGACACAGCACTGGCATGAGGGCACAAGTTTATTAGACACAGCTCTGAAAATGCATTCAGAATCAGGTTGCCAAACATATGCCAGGTTCTGAGCTTCTCCTGTGGCTGTCTGTGGTAATTTTTGTGACATGACCACCAGTTTGAGGGTTTGATTCTGCAAAGCTCTATATTGTGAAACTCCCACTGATTTCAATAGAAGTTTGGCACACTGCTTGTAGGATCTGGTCTTTGTTTTTTTTCTTGCCCACTAGTTAGTAATGGAACCCAGGTCTCCAAAGTAAAAAGCGAGTGCATTAACCCAGCACCAGGAAGTGCCATGGTCACTTTGAGTGCACTGCAGGCAGCAATGCGAGAACATCTCCAAGTACACTCAGGGTGACATTCACCAGCTGGAGAGGGCCAACATGAAGTCAATGCGCCACTTACGTCCTACTTGAGTGCTATTTTGAGGACAAGTGTTGCTTTGGCCTTCTGCCTTCTGTCCTTTAGTAGCTAGTCCTAGCCCTCTGCACAGTGGTGAATTTCACCCTCTGTGCAAAAGAGTGGCATGTAAGAGAAAACCCTCCTTTAAATAATAGAATAACTTCAAAATTGGGTTCCCCAAGCATGCGAAATACAAAACAAAAGATCAAGAAACTGCTCCACTCCTTCAAGTTTTTAATGATCTTCCTTGTCCTGAATTGATAATCACCTGTGCTCAAGAGGCTTGGCGGGTTTCGTGTGGTCACCTGTTGCCTAGCTAGTACTGCTAAGAACAAGGAAAACAGTTCCCAGGCAGCATGCACGAGAAAACAAAAGGAAAATAAAAATAAAAATGTACCACTTAATGATTAAAATCGCATTTTTTTACTTTGCAAGAACTCACATTTAAAAGAAAAAAGAAATGAATATCAAGAGATTAATATCAAGAAGAGCCATTAACAAGCCCTTTGCCTTGGTTTCAATTAGGTGTTGAAATGTATTTATTATGTTCTGAGAGTAAAAGAGGTCATAATTTCTTCTCAGGAAGGGGTTGCAGTTTTCTCAATGAAAGTGTCAATATAAATATGCATTAGGTGCTGGGGAGGAGGGAGATCTGTTAATTCCAAAAGAATGGATCAAATTAAAATAAATAAAATAAAATGAATGCCATCAAGGAAACTAAGTGGCAAAGTGAATAAATAAACTCTTTGAATTAAAACGGTGTGGCAGAGAGCTGGTAAATTGGAGTTTAATTTCAAGCTTATTTTTAAATGCTAATAATAATCATCCAAGGTGACTAACACTTTTTATAATTTTCTTTCTCTCTCTCTCTTTTTTTTTTAAACACAGCAATTTAAAAAGAGGAGTAACCTGTTTGTGGAGAGACATTTATAGATGATTGAGGTAAAAGATTTGAGGCCAACACCACTGAAAGCAAATAAATGCATATATAAGGGTAATGGTGTTAATTAGTGAGCTAAAACATATTAGTGAATTATGAAATGGCTACAGGAGATGAGACAAATGCACCAAGCTTTCTGATGGATCATCAATATCATGGCAAAGTCTGACAGTAATGCCCAGTGAGAGTCTAAGCTCCCCTGTCCCACTATTTATGGGATGGGCCAAATCTTGCCCCGGACAGTGCTGTAAGCAGGAGACGGGATGGTGGCAGATGCACTCTACAAATTCTGCCTTTCACAGTAGAATTCCACCAGTTGTATCTTGGAAAATGTGCTGCTGATTGCACCAACTGGTGAAACTGATCTCAATGCAGTATGTTAGCATAAAACCTTTGCACCACTTAAGTCCCACTTAAGCCGTTCGGGACGTTATGGGTGCACAGGCCTTGTACTGGACCTCTGTTTGGGGTCAATTTCACCCAACAAGGAGCACTGTGCATGTTCAGGAAGAGCATGCCGCAGAACACAGCATGCGAGTGAGATGGTGAGGGGCTGGACCCCCCCCCCAATTCACAAGCTGCCTTTGCCCTTTAGTAGCTAGTGCACTAGAGAATTCCTTCTTTCCGAGTAAGGAATCCCTGAACAGAGCTTAGCTGAAATGAAAACGAAGGGCCAATCTGAACATCTTTATGCTAAACAAGATATTTCAATGACATCATAATATGATTAGGCAAAACTAGTCTGCTGTGAAGCATCTTGACTGCCCCTATTTATTTATTTATTTATTTAAACTAAAACAGTTTAATAAGGGTTGTCTAATTTTCTGAGAGAATTGAATTTAAAGGCAAATGCCCTCCTCGTCCGGCTGGAACAGTGACAATGGAATGGTTTGTTGAACTTCTCAAGTAATTAAAGTTACTCAGCTTTTTGTCTGGTGCCTCACAGCTATAATGTGCTATAATCTCCCAGTAACACACTACCTGTCAAGTCTTATTGCTTAATTATTCTCACATTCGAGTTTACTGCCCATGTTAATGACAGTTTAAGAGAATATCTGCCAGACTTAAGCACAGTTAATGATCTTGATTCTAACCTCACTTTCACCAGTGTAAATCAGGAGTAACTCATCTGAAGCTGATAAGATTACTTTGGGGTAAAACATATGTAAGTAAGATCAGGCCGTAGACTGAAAAGGGAGTCTATAAAAGGACATTAAAGAGTCCCACATTTATTCTCTCTCACCAGCTCCCAAACAAACTGTGGTCATTCTATGACACAAGTCAAAAGTGGACTAATTGCCAGTGCTGCTAGACCAGCCAGGAATCTTTACTCTGTCTGCCTCTTATAAAGACAGTGTAGTCACACATTAGCAGACAGCTTTGCTGATGATGCTCAAGATAAGATGGGATACATTGGGTAAAATGGCGCCATTCTAAGAGAATAATTTTTTGACCCTAATCACAATGTAACTATAGTTATGCAAATACACCTGGCTATTGCTCTAGTAGCAGAGATGTGCAATATGTTTATAGACATGGGGCATGACTCCCTTCTTACAGGTGGCTGCATAGTGGCATGGTTCTATTGACTTGTAAAAAGTTACTACTAGGAGGAGAAACAGCCTCATGACATTTGGGTACCTTATAACAAGAGAGATTCTAAATCACAGACAGGGAATATTTGGCTGTATGCTCAACTCCCCCAGACTGAGCAATCCCCCTTTTCGCCTGCTATTTGCAGAGGTGCCATTTGTAGACATGAAAAAATGTTGTATCATGGGGAATACTAATGCTGCTGCAACATAATCCCTGAGTGTCCTAGTCAACATTGTATCTTTGGATATGCCAAAGTAGTATGGCATAAAGTTACCCCATAGATATATTTATTCCAGTGCCCTAGCTCATGATCAGACATTCAAACATGTACAGTTGCATTTCATGCCAAAGAAAAAAAAGGAAAGAAAAAAGCACATATGGAAAAGTACATGTAACAAAAAAGAAAAACACCAAAAAACACCAACCCTCAAGATATGAAGACACAAGACACTTTCCTGTAAATCAAAAGTAATGCCCACTGAGAGCGAATAAGCATGCGCACACACACGAGTGAGAAAATGAGCACTTGCCCTATACATTACTTTCATAAATTCCTGCTCTTTTCCATTCATGCCAACCAAGAACAGTGCTGAGGACAGTGTTTACCATGAGACAATGACTTTTAGAGTCTTGGGTGGCTCTACCCATCCTTATTATATCTGTCACTACTGTAGATCATCCAAGAGTTCTCATCCTAAAACATTCAAGAATGATAGAATACAAGTAAGCTGCTGGCTGTTTTGATAGCCTACAGGGCTAATAAAACACAGTCCATTTGGAAAACTATCTCAATCTTCAAATGCTTATTTAAACCTACTGCAAACTATCCAAACCTAACCAGACCATCCTAACCAGGAGAAGTTACAAGAACAGGAATGCTTGCTTCCTTGCCAGATGTGTGCTACTCCCTGCTTTTATCTGGACCATAAACACAGTAATGCAGCACTTCCACATCCAGTCCCAGAACTAGGAATTACAGAGATGAAAGAATGTAATTATGGCTTTTGAAAAATGAAGTTATCTAGACTTTTCTAAACCCCAGAAGACACCCCAGTCACATTCTGGGCAAAAAGTATATGTAGTTTCTTGTTCTACCCAAACTTCTTTCACCTGTCCCTATCTCCCTCTCTCATCCAAACCTCCTCCTACCACCAGAAAGCCAAGAGAATGATCTGAAATGGACGTGTAACTCAAGGTTTAGATAAAGTGATGGGGTAGGGAGGAGAGAGATTTTGAGACACACAGAACGTTTGGAACCCAGAGATAGGAATTAAGATGATGGTTTGATGAGGAACCTCTACAGGGGAAAGCAACAAGAAGGGGTAGGGGACATCACACAACAGCAGAACCACAAGCTAAGGAGGGGGAAATGGCTCATCCTCTTTGGGTTTACAATGGTGACACAAGCTGTTTACCACACCAGATGTTGGCAGAGAAATGCCCCCCCCCCCCAAAGTGACTCTGTGGATACATCTAACAAACAGCTGGGAGGAGTAAATCCCAGCTTGGGTAGACCTACACATGCTAGCTCTGACTGAGTTTGCACGCTAAAAATAGCAGCGTGGTTGCAGCATCACAGGGGCAGCTGGGACTAACCACCTAAATACATACCAAGGACCTTTGCACTCAGGCAGCTAGCCCAAGCCACTGCCTGGGCTGCTGCAGCTACATGGTATTTTAGGAGGCTAACCCGATCAGACCCTACATACAAGAAAGTGGTTTTGGAAACAGGCATTTTGCCTGGACAACCCACACCTGCTTTAAATGAAGCCCACTATTTGAGTGATCATTGTAATTAAGTTGTGTCACCATTGTAGCTTCCACCATATCGGCATAAGCTTGCAACCAGGAGGAAGAGTCTCACATACCTTTTGTCGCCAGTCGGACACAGTTGATTTTGGTTTCCTGAAAATAATAAAATATAGGAGATCATCAGGGTATTTTGTTATTTGTCCATTTAGAACAAGTTTTAAAAATACAATAATAAAATAAAGTCGGTTTTTCCTTACATGTCACCTCTGAAAATTTTGCACCTTCTTCCTTTTCCATTAAACACTTCGTACTAATCAACTTGTGGACAGTTGCTCCACTAAGTAACTGTTAGGAAGTTACAGGGACAACACATTTGCCATTTTTCTTCTGCTGTATGTGTGAGGGAACATAGTGGGTTGGTCGACTAATGGGCTTTACCAGTTTAACAACCTAATTTGATAACAGGCAGAGAATCCCTACAGTCACACACAAAAATGCATGCAATTATACACCTAATTTTCATGCACAATTGCTACAATTAACCCCATCTGCTGCACTTTGATGTGGCTGCTGGTCCCAAGCCAGGTAAAGTGGGGAGGATGGAGCGCAAGGCTTACTATGTAGCCTTATAAAACACAAATACCCTCTCTCATTTTCATTATAAAAATGGAACCAGGCTACCATTCTGGTAAAAATGGCTGCTCAGCAGAGAGTACTGCCAACTCCACATGTTGCATGAAGGTTCCTAGGGAAAACCAGTCTCCGGAAGCCAAGACCCCAAAAAGTTTAATGCCGGGAGCAAAAAACATTTCAAAGTTGGTACGGGAATGTGAGAACAATGTTTCAAACAGCAAAGATCTTGCAAGTTATGAGGCAGATGGACAACTATGGACTTGAAATCCTGGGCATCAGTGACAGCAGACTGACAGATGAGGATAGGAAGTGCTTCAAACATCTCATTTATTCAAGTCATAGTGATAACACACACTCAAAGGGAGTAATGCTCACTATGACAGATTCGGTGGAAAAAACACCTATGAACCGGAAACCTATCAACCAACCACTATATGCGCCACATTCCAAACCAGAATTGTAACGATGTCAATCATACAGTGATATGCGCTGACAGAGGAACACAGTGATGAGGATAAAGGTAGGTTCTATAACTGCCTACAAAGTATGATTGATAGAATACCAAAACAGGATTTACTCCTTGTGATAGGTGATTTTAATGCTAATGTAGAATGCAATACCCATGGAAGGGAAAGAGCAATGGGGAAGCCCTGGTTAGAGATCATTAACCAAAATGGCAAGAGTCTCATTGAATTGTACTTGGTGTCCGATATAGCTCTTGCAAGCACCCTGTTCTCTCATAAAGACATACATAAAGAAACATGGAATTCACCAGATAGCAAAACAAAAAACAGACTGATCACATCCGCATCAGCTCAAGAGGCAGGTCATCTGTCCAAGAGGCAAAGGCTTATTGAGTAGCAGATGTCAGCAGCGACCAGAATCTTTGCATTGCCAAAATAAAATTCAAATGGACACAGATCAACTTTAAACAGAAAGCAGCCAAGAAAATCAACTGCACAGAGCTGAAAATAAAAGAGTACCGTGAGAAATTCAACCTTGAACTTAGGAACAGAGCTGAGGCACTGCCAGAGGCCGAAGAAGGTGTGACACCGACTGGACCTGAAGAAAAATGGGCAGTGCTCAGAGACAATGAGATTCAAGCTGAAGCAGTCATAGTAAACGGAGCAAGAATTGGATAAGCCAAGAGCTGTGGTGTCTTATTGAGAAAAGACAAGCATTGAACGGAAAACTCCTGAATGCTAAGACCAATGAAATATTGAAAAATGTAAAGGGAGAGTACAAGAAAGCAGACAAAGCAGTGAAAAGCAAAGAAAGATAAACAGAGATATGTTGAAGACCCAGCAGCTGAAGCTGCTGCTATGATAGGAAATCACAGAGCTGTTTACCAAGTGACTAAAATCCTGTGTGGAAACTTCAAAACAGGAAATGGGCCAATAAAAAGTAAAGATGGAAAAATGCTTACAACTGAGGTAGAACAGAACAACAGATGGGCAGAGCATTTCAAAGTCGTCCTCAACAGACCCAGCCCTACCTCAGCACCAGAGTTTGATGAAATACGCGAACCTGACCAACTTGATATCAACATCGCTTGAACAGAGATGTCAGAAGTACAGGCTGCAGTCAAGAAGCTGAAAAAAACAAAACGGCAAGAGATGATCATATCACAGCAGAAATGCTAAAAGCTCTTGACACTACCATCCTAATGAAACTGGCAGAGCTGTTCAATGAAGTCTGGGAAAGAGAGACCCCCCAACCTAACCCATGAACACCTGGAATAAATGTCAGAATACCCAAAAAGGGTCATCTTACTAACTGCAGCAACTGGAGAGGTGTCACACTATTCTTGGTTGTAGTGAAAGTCGTCTGTAGTGTGATACTACATAGAATGAGAGAGGCAGTGGATGCAACGCCTGAGGAAGAACAGGCTGGATTCAGGCTGAAGAGATCCTGCGTAGATCAGATATTCACAGTAAAGATCATCATAGAAGAATGTGTAGAATGGCAGGCTTCCCTCATTATCAATTTCATGGATTTTCAAAAGGCATTTGACTGCCTGCATAAGCATACATTGTGGAATACTCCACAATCTCATGGAATTCCAGCTGAAGACTTCATCATCATCATCATCAAGTCTATGTACAGCAATGCAAAGTGAGCTGTAAGAGTGAACAACAAGACATCAAAGTGATTCAATGTGGACTCTGGAATTAAACAAGGCTGCATTCTATCTCTACAGTTGTTTGACACTGCCATAAACTGGATAATGAAGAAGTGTATTAGCAACACAAATACTGGCATAGTATGGGTAGTTGGGAAAGGCCTAGAAGACCTAGACTTTGCTATGATATCGTGCTGTTGAGCAACACCCCAAAAAAACTACAAACAAAACAGACACCTTGGCAAAAACAGCAGGCCAAAAAGGGCCCAAAATCAGTTACGCCGAAACAAACATCCCTGAAACCTACATGTCAAAAATACCGTGATATTAGAAGGTAAAGATATAAAAAAAGTAGAACTGTTCATTTACCTGGGCAGCCCCATATTAGTCAACAGAGACCTCAAGGATAGGAAAGGCATCCATAGCATTCACTAAACTCAACCATGGAAATCAAAGATATACAGTAACAAAACAAAACTGAGAATTTCTTCAATGCCAATGTAATCTTAGTGCTAGTATGTGGCCGTAAGAACTAGAGAGCTATTTAAACGTTAGATAAAAAACTAGATGCCTTTGAAAATAAGTGTCCATGAAAGATTCTGGGCATTGGACAGAGACTTTATCACCAAAAAAGAGATCTGAGAAAACACCAACCAGCAGCTTGTTTCCACTAGAATCAAAAGGAAGTGCTTGACGTATCTGAGGCATGGGCTATGGATGCCAACACACAGATTCACTCTCACACGTAGCTGAGGGAGCCCAAGGAAAACCTTAAGAACCTTTAGAAGGGAGGGTGGAACAGTCAAACTCAACATCACAGAGCAGATGGTAGCAGCAGCTAATAATAGCGCTAACGCATCAACATTGGCTTGAGAAAGATGTAATAATAATAATTGCTACAATTCCTGCAAATTGGGCATTTACATACACACATGGCTACAGAGACACCTAACTAGCTATTTGCACATGCAAATATCTGATGTGTGTGTGAAACAAATAGCATGCTAAATGATCAGCTCTACCAAACAGGTTGACCCACAATCCAAACCATCCCAGGTCATTCAGTACTGAGCTGGGACAACACCCACACCTTTTATCTGATTCCTCTTGGATTCTGATTATTTGCGGGGGGTGGGGGGGTGGTGGAAGAGCTGAACTAACCATAGTTCTGTGTTTGTTTTTTTCTAAAAACCAAAACCAAGCCACCTTTTTAGCCCATGTCCACTGAATACATACCATCACCAGCATTCCAAATACCTCACTCTACGCTACAGTCATTACTAGCACATTATGCTTTTAACACACGACTGCCTTACATATCTTAACATGTTGCTGTGGTCAGTAGAGTGACTTTGTGAGACAGTAATCTGTTGCAGGGTTTTCTTAGCACTTATGTCTTTAAACAATCTTGTACATGTCTCAAGTGTAATGAATATTGCATAAATTACCATATGCAACAATGCTGAATTAATATGTATGCCAGGTGTGTTCTGGAAGTGACAGTATGTATCTTGCTCCCTCCTACAACACACACATTTTCAAAGAGTAACTTTGTTCAAATGGCACTCTCTTATGGAAAAACATGGGACAGATCATCCTTGGCCCTAGCATAGGTGCATGGCCATAGGGTGGGAAGGTGGCAAAGTGACTTCACCTCCGTACTTACTTTGCACAAAGACAAGGGACAACCACAGTTCTTGTGCTCTGCAAAGAGCAAGGAAGGTGGTGACTCACCCGTAGCCATAGCACCTCCCCATGAAACAGGCTGTGGGGTGGTGCAGCTTGTTGACCTGTATGGGAAACACTTGTGCTTTCTGAGGAATAACCCCTCCCAAAACTCCCATTGTGCCTACACACTGCCCCTACCTCTACCTCCACCCTGCCATGCAAGCTTGTGCCCAAGTTTATCCCTGAGTCATATCTGCTTGGTTCACTGACCCCATAAACAATAGTACAACTGTCAGCCCTGCAGAGCCAATATAGTTGCAGAAGGGAGAACTGTATTCAGTTATGCCTCATGCATCATCACCTAGAATGGCAAGCTACTGTGCAATTCCAGAATCTTTATTGTCAGTGATGAAATATGAAGTAGAATGAACACAGCTTTATTTTTAGAGACTAGCCTCATTGCAACGATGGGCACAATAAAAAATGAAATCTTGTTGTGACTTATAAGTTGAGCAAATGGGACTGGAAAAGTCATTGACGGAGGTTGGACATCAGATATCAAAGTAGCATTGTGGCAGTCCACAATTGATATACAAAGTCCCAAATTTGGTCTTGGAAAATGTTTTCATATGTTTCTGTAGCTCCTTGTTAGCTATCAAGTACAACAGCCAGCTGGAAAAATTAATCAATGTTAAGAAAAAGAATAGGTGAGAAACCAAAAAGGAAAGCT